AGTCGATTGAGTATCGAAAATTTAGCACTTTTATATTTTATAATAGCATTCAAAAAGGCAGCAATCTTTTAAATTCTGAGTGGAGCAAAGAAGTTTATGGTTTTAAAAAGATGTATTTTTTTTATTGTTTCACAACTTTTCTACTAGAATTCTTGCTCCGATTTTTAAAAGTAGCACCTTTTCTGACAGAAAATCTGAGTGGTGAGGTACTTTTATGAGGTCATTTTTTAATTATCCCAAGAATTTACTCAAAAATGTAAAAGACGGAAAAAATCAGAGGAAAAACGGGAAAGTATAAGAAATATAGGTATTGGTTAAAATATATTACGGTCTTCTTTTTTTCTGTAAACAACTTTTCTACAAGCAATTTGGCTCCGATTTATAATGATAGAAATTTGTTTATAAGGAAATTTGACTGGAGACATACTTTAGGGAGATCATTTTTCGATTTTCCCAAGAGTTTTCTGGGAAAAACGGTACAACATTAAACAAATATTATTCCAGAAAATATATAATGCCTGTTTAATTATTTTACTATAATATGACACGTATATTGTTGAAAAATTATCACTATCAACTGAACTCTATTCAGAATTGATTTTTTCTGTTGGTAATAATTAATTGTTGCCTACGGAAATACATTGACCGTCTGTATCCTACCTCTCCAATTGCCTCCCTTCGACGGTGGTTACACTCGTCCCCATTATCCTAGGATTTTTTTTTGTTTACTCTTCGTCCGAATTTCCTCTAATAAAGCTAGCCTACTATCGATATAAATATAATTATTCTACCTAACCGCTATCAAATTAATTTAATTGAAAATAAAGAAATGGTGATGTTTATCCTTCGGTGGACCAATTTTTACGAACAAAATATAACGCAATAAACGTCAATTTGTTTTTAGAAAATCATAAATTAAAACAACCGAATAATAGTATATCAGAATACTACGAATCGGCCGTTACAGGGATCTATTCGGGTTTCAGGGGTTTTATTTTCAATTTCATTACGAATTATTTGTACGATGAGGACAGCAGTACCCGGAAATATAGTTACATTAGCTGTAGACAAAAAAAAAAAAACCAGTCATACTACACGGTAGGTATCTAAACCGAGAAAAATGATTTACTAAGAACTGTATAAACCTTTGGACAACAGCGGCGGGTTTGTGGATTTGGAATGGACATTCCTGGCAGTTTTTTTCATTTGTATACCCGTGATGCTTATTAAAGAAGAAACGTATGGCCGAAAATCCTGCAAAGACTGAAAGGTTTCTTAAATAAATTCACTACGACGAAGAAAATGTCAGACATTGGCAAATTAGATTATTGTATCTACGGGTTATTAGGGTGGACAGACGGGACAGCTTCCGAAACCGAAACGTATATTCAGAAACTAATAAACGAAATAGTCCGCGATTCGGTCGTGACCGGAACTATAGAACTATTCTATACTATAGAATTTCGGAGGTCCTTTTTAACAAGGATAACGATAATTCATTTATCCGTCTCAGGTGCTTGACGGGAATAATAATTGCGGCTAACCGATTTTGCCTTTCAACGAGGCGTAGTTATACAATATTATTTTATTACGATTTTGCGTATAACCGAGTAAATTGGTTATCCACGAAACACAAAGTTGGTCAGCGGTGGTCGAATTCAATAAAAACTTTATAGGTACTCAAATTATATACACATATATTAGATCATTACAATTTAAGTGCCATCAAAAAAAGTGTTATTTCAGATCCTTTTTTTCAAAAAATAGTTTAAAAGTGTATTTTCAGAGTCAATCATTGCTACTTTAATTATTTTTTATTCTAAGCGTAGTAAGCAATAAGGCAAAAAGGGTTCCTGTTGTTTTTAAAAATGACATCAATGTACCACTCAGAATCTAAAAAACCACATTTCATAAGAATGCGAATACATAGCGGCTCGTGACGGATCGTATTACCTATTGAAAATCGAAGGAAAGAACAAATTTTAATTTTATACAAAATTTATGACAATTGTATTGTTTAGTTGGTTATCATTAGAGTTAGAAAATAATAACACATAATTTCTTTATTAATTTCAACGTATCCATAGTGTCCAACGTTCGTATAGTTTAATGGGATTACCGGAATTCAATACACTGATACGCACAAAGTAGCCAATGTGTACTGTGTGTGACGGCCATGTAAGAACGAAATTCATGATAATAAGTTTAACTATTCTTGGATTTTTATATGGTAAGCAGGAGCGTATTTACATGTCCCCCGCGTGTAGGCCTGTAGACGGTTGCCGCCCTAAATAACTAAAATAATATGCCGCACTAACTGAATTATCATTTAATTAACTACTATAAAATAAATATTAATTAGGTAAATATGCAAAACAAATTTTATTTAAATTCTAAAACATAATTTCTTAAAAGTTAAATAATTTTTGTTAATATTTACCTCCACCAAAAAAAGTAAATACCATGACAAATTGGAGAAGGGGTTGACCTTTTGTCACCCTAGCAATGCCATTGGATCATAGCAATATTTCAATACATAAAGTTGTGCAATCTATGTTCAAATTTATAATTTATATGATTAATATAAAAATATAATCTAATACATTATACATACTATGTAAGTATGTTACATAAAAATAAATACAACTAATCATGTAAGTAGTACAAAATACAAATGGATCAAGAAATTGCCTATACAGTACTCTTGCATCATTAAATTCCTGAATATTACTCTCTTATAAAATATTTTCCCGGTTTTAAAATTCCCATGTGTTATTCCCGTTGATAGATATTTACTTAACAACGTACAGATAACGTTATGGAACAAGGGTTCATTCAATCAATTTATCGATTCAAATGAGTTCTATGCCGGTTCGATATACATTAAAACGATTACAGTTCAATTAAATCTCAACAAAAATTTAATCATGAACATTAAAAGTAAAATATTAATTAAATGTTATGTCAAAGTTCGTTTGTTACATAGGATATACATTAAATTATCTATAACAGTGTCTGCACCCGTTCACATTATCATAGGACTTTTTTTTTATTTCCCTGTTTAGGTTGAGAAAAAGAGAAACAAAGAAAAAGAACAGTTTTTTCGGAAGTCGGATTTTGGACATCCAACTTGTGATGTTTGGGATGACAACAGATAAGTAAGACCACTGACTACGACAAAAATACTAAAATCTATAATTTCAAAACTCGAGATAATCATTTATCTGTATCGCTATTCACTGTATATTTACATCAAATTGAAAGTGTCTTTGAAATGTTTCCTTTTCGTATTATAATGATAATTGTACATTATTTATCGTGTTTAGTTTGACATCTGTTCAGTACAGCAAATCTAATATAAATTTAATGAAACAGGAATGTATGATTTTATTATGCACGATGGATAAAAACTCTGAAGGAGTGTTTCCAATAGTTACTTCTATAGCGCTGTATTTCCTGTTCTAGTTTTTTCTTTATTTTATTTCTTTTTCTATATTCTTAAATAAACTCAGGAGACAAGTGTATAGTCAACGGTAAATTAATGTATTTTGAAAAATTATTAATCTAAATTATTTAAACGAAAATTTCACCAATCGTTGTATTATTGTAGTACGAAATATTTGTTAAATAATCACATGACATGCAGGCATGTAATTTTACTTTCGAAAATGTTTGCACCACCAAAAGTTTATCTACTCACACTCTACGGCCTCCGTAGGAGGAAATTTAAAAAAGAAATTCCCGAACGAATAAATTATTGTGCCGTCAGTCGCGTTCCCGCGGGGATCGGAAAAGTTACTCGCCTACGGACGGTACTTTCAGTTTCAAAAGTTTTGCTGGGAGAAACGCACATATATATTATTATTAGTATTATTATCCGACATATTCAAAAGAATTCAGCCCAAGACGGACATAACTAATTCAAACGGGCGGCCTATCTGGAGGCGATACTATACGATAATATTTATAATAATAATAATAATAATAAACTTTACTGACTTCTCACGGACATTAGAATAATCGATTTTAAATTTTTTTGTCTCTATTTGGTGTATTGGAGGTGGGAGGGGGTTTAATTTTTGATTTTCTAAAGAATATAACAGGCAAAACGGAAAATATTTACGGCACACCACGGCGTTACCGTTTGACTGTCGGAAAGTTGTGAATCCACGATTAATTTTCTTATTCTATATTATATTGTTTATACTTATATTTTGTTTATTATTTTATAATAAGTATCATATTATTACTAGTAATGGCGCATTATTGTAATAAATACAAATATGATACCATTTGTCTGCAATACGATATTTAATTTTTATTAAATTTAAAATTGTAATATTTTTTACAAAATAAAAAACCGTATACCAACAAGTGGAACTATTGTATGGATGAATAATAAAGCTAATGATTAATTTAAACTAATACCTATATTTAAAACCGTGATTTAAACTTTAATTTTAGAAAATAAATATAAGATTATAAAACTTTAACCAATGAAGATATCATAATAACTATTGCTCTTTTTTACCGTTGTTTATTTAATTATAAAGCATTACTCTTGTCAATTTACAAAAATCATTGTGATTGGTTTCACCTTATAAGTTATAAAGGTCATTTTATTTATATACTAGTTAGCAATCGATTTTTGTTAACGAAGTTGTTCTACCGTGTATTATAATTACCTTAGTACTGATTACATATTTACATTTTTCAATATCTTTATTAATTATTATTTATTACTGGCTATTATACGTTATACTGCAGTTTCTTAGTAACCACTCATATTCAATACAAAATAAGTTAATGTAGTGAATACACATAATAATTCACAACACTTTTAAGACTAAATCAAAATTTAAGGCTTTTTAAAAAAGAACACAGCTCAGACACGTATAATATCTAAGTGAGTACCTAGTAAATAATACACCAATTTAGGATATTTAATAGTTTTATAATATATCTTTGTAGATTAGTCTTGTACATTTCATTTACAAAATATGAACCATAAACATATCGACTGTAAAGATTCTTCTTCTGCGACAATGCAAGCTCGCTTGCATTACTTGGACGAGCAGATACAAATACTGAAAGAAAATGTTGCAAAACACGAGAGAACAAAAGAAGAACTCATGGACTTAGAAAATCAACTTTTATCAATTCAAGAGACTATAGAAATTAAATGTGAAAATGAAAAACAGTCGTTTGAGAATATCAACCAGAAATTGAATTCAGTGTCATCCAAATATGAGCAAGCGCAATATGCCATAGACAAATTAAATAAAGAGAACCATAATTTGGAATGTAAAATACACTCCAATTATGTTAAAGAATTAGAAATAGATCATAAAATTAAAAATTTGGAATGTATTAAAAAGCAAATTATGGAGCACAATAACAAACTTTTTGATAAATTACACAAGGAACAGGTAATTTAATTTTTATTTCCTCTTGTATTAATAAAGTATACTATAGTAGGCATTTGCTTTTTATTTCGTTTGATTCAATCTCTAATATTAAAATACGACGTTTTATTTATATATTTTATTATTATTTTTATTTTAGAATGCTTTTTAATCGTTGTTATTTTTAGATTCTGAGTGGAGCAAAGAGGCTTAATATGGTTTTATAAAGATGTTTATTTTTATTTTTTATCTGTGTGCTACTTTTACACAAAACATTTTTGTTTTGATTTTTAGGTGTAGCAACTTTTGTAAAATTAAATGCGGGAGAGTGCGGAGAGGTAGTTTGGGGAGGCTATTTTTCGATTTTATCAAGAGTTTTCTTAGAAAATGTGATAAACTGAGGAAAAAACGTAGGAAAAGCAAGAAAATCAGTAAAATATTAAACAAATATTATTTATAAAAATATGTGATGCCTATTTAATTATTTTACTATAATATAACATATATTGTTGACAAAGTATCACTATCAACTGAACTGCGGTCAGAATCATTTTTCGTTAGCAGTGGTCTATTTTTGTTTACAGTCTGTATTCTACCTTTCCAATTTTCTAGCTACAACATTTGCTACACCCGTCCCATTATCTTATGACAGCTTTTTCATGGGTGTGCCATTGTTGTAGGTGAGAAGTTAGGGAGGTAGGATACAAGTTATTTCATTTATATCTGTATACAACGATGAACCATTGCTAACGAAAAACGATTCAGAGCGAAATTCGGTATTGTAATTTATAACACCTTTCATATTACAAAATTGAACCAAAACAATTTACTGAATGAATTAATCTAAGATAATCTACAAAAAATGAAAACAAATTTTAGTGTTCCAATGTGATTTGAATCAGTGAATGGTCAACCATAACTTTTTCTAATCTTATAACTGATATATCGAGATACGTCTATCAATCTATCAATGAATGAATAAATTAATGAAATAGGGTATTAACATTTTACAGTAAAAAAAACTTAAAGTCACTTGCACTTACTTCTAATATTCAATAAAAATATATTGTATTGAGGAAGGTAGCATCCAAAAACAATGTAATATGTTTTATTTCTTAGTATGTACTTTGGGTCACAGCCAATTCAGTAATAAAAATATTTTTCAGAACTATTTTGTCTATGAACAGCCGGTCCACAATAATACCGTGTTGTTTTTTTTTATTAGAAACTTTGTACAATTAGTTTCGACAGTTAAATTAGTAAGCTTTATATGATAACATTACATAAAATAAAAAAAACAAAACAAAAACAAACACCATGGTGTTTTGGGTACACTAAATCATTTATTTTTATATACAATATGGGTTAGTTAGTTTATGACATTTGACTACAGGAATGTGCCAAATCATTATGTCGGGAACAGTCCAACCTGGAAAATTTGGCTAAGCAGAGAACAGAGGAAGCGCGAAAACTCCATTGTAAACTGACCGAGGCCGAGGCGGCAGTGGAATGTACGAGAAAGAAATTGTGCAAACTCAAACAGTGGCATGATGAGAGGGAACAATCTCTCCGAGAAATGTCGTCAAGGTACCAGGAAATGGAAACGCAGCAAGAGATAGTCAAAGAATCAGGTGCAGAAAAGCTGGCAAATGCCGATTGGTCTGCAGAAATGGCCTCTCGGGAATTAGCTGACGCGACAGCTGAGGTCACCGACCGAAAGGCTGAACGGGAACGTACAGCTATGACATACCGAGAGCTTAAAGCAACCTGTGACGCGGAGACTTGTCGGTTACAGTTGGAACTCAAAGAGCTAAGTGATCAACATGACCAACTAACGTGTAAAGTGACAGACGTGTCCACTAAGCTGGCCGAAAAGTGTGACACTGGCCAGCGGCTGAAGGCCGACGCGAATGCCGAGAATGAACGGCTGGCTGAACTTTCAACTGAGGTTGAGAAATTGAACCGGCAGGCATGTTTCGAGCGTTCGGTACTAGCATTGTACTGGATAAAAACCGAAACGGAGGTAGCGACGCTCCGCGAGCTAATGGTCGTCAAATGTCACAAATTGCAGTTGGTCGAGAACGAGGTGGAGGATTTGAAACGAGCATGGGACCGACGAGAGTCGGGTACACGAAAGGTGATCAAGGAGGCAGAGTTATGTTCAACTGGAGAAAAAAAAATAAAAGAATTGAAAGAAAATGGTTGCCAAGCGTGTTAAATGCTGTGATGATTATTATTGGATTGAATTTCATATAATTACATGCAGAGTTGAGAATTGTAGTATTTTGTATATTATTATAGCCGTGAAGTAATCTTCACGGTTAGGTTAGGTTAATTTAGTTAATCGTTTGATGTTTTGATTGCAAGAAAAACAATATAGGGATCTTTATTGATTTCATAATATACTATTATTTAATCCATTGTATCAGTTTAAATTTTATATTTTATTATATGTATTCGTATTATTATAATTTTTTATTCAGTTGAATATAATATTTATATCAACGGTAATCAATGGTTCTATCTCAACAACAAATGGTTTGTTACCTTCTATAATAAATAATAATTTCCATGGTTTTAAAATCCGTTAATCTACAAACTAACTTATACGTAGGTATCTAAACATGTATGACGTGTGTTCCAGTTACTCAAAAATTTGTGGTCTGAAATAAAATGTATGAAATTCAATAGATATTATTAAACAAACTATTCTTGGGTCATGATTTATTTTGTATTCAAAAAATATATTGTTTTTAATGCAATGAAATACTCTATTTGTTATACCAGAGTATTTAATTCAATAGTAAAAATTGATTTTTCTCTAAAATCAAACATAATAATAATATTTATTAAAATGAATAAAAACAGGCAAATGTCCAATAGCAAGTATTGGTAGTTGTTATAATAAATTAATATAGATGTTTAACATTAAAATTCTTAATATTTATACTTTATAAGCTAAAAAGTAAACCAAATGAATTACAATAGTAAAATATTACATATTGTTTAATTAAGTATATTTTATGAATTGCAACTAATGAAGAAATTTTATTACTTTATTAACGTAAAATCGTGTTGATTAATAGTTAAGTTAAATTTGAATGTTATGGACTTTAACAATCGGTTTTGAACACCATCAATAAAGTCAATGTTAGATTTAGTACAGTGGTGGATTTGGGCCTAGTTTATGTATGTAAATGTATAGTATACGTTTATATTTTTAGTTCAATGTGATTATTAATATTGTCAATAAACATTCAAAAATTATATAATTGGAGCTGGTCCTGATAAGTCAAATAAAGTATTAATAATAATATTGATGTCTAGTAAAATATCATGAAAAATATAAACTATAACGCCTATTTTTAATGGTAAAAACTAACTGGTTTGATCGCTGATTATGAATATTATAATCCATCTTAATTGTGATAATCATAAACTAAGAGTATTCATGAAATTGGTAACCAGATTGGTATTCAGCTTGGATAATATTAAATAGTTGGTTACTCAGATCAATGAAGTTTTCAATAAATATATGTTTTTTTTTTTTAAAAATGTACATTTTTTTAAAATATTTTAAAGTCAATGTTAATCCCAAAGCTGGAATCATGGTTAGAAAGATGAAAGCATTTAACAACTAAAAGTAATTTTTCATAAAATAGTATTTAAAATTGTGATCACTAAATTATAGTAATGATTGTACAATAATGTAGCAATGTACATACAATAAATATTTACTTTCATTTTTCTGATAATAAATTTGATAACATTTTTGCAACCATAGATGAATGTACTATAAACTGGTATACACGCAATTGTACGATGTCTGCTTATAATGCTTTGTACTTAGCCTGTAAGACCATATGTACATTGAAGAGCGTCGTGCTGTGAGCGATGGGCGATAAGTTTTAAATTTTTATTATTAAATTAATGTTGAAGCACTCTACTCAACTCAAAGAATTAATATTAGACTCTAAATTATTATTATTATACAGAGTGAGCCATTTATTAAACCTTTGGGATGTAAAAATTGTATGAAAAAAACATAAATTTATAATTTTGAAGAATTTTTCGTTTATTTTGGAAATTTGTTGTTCTGATTACTTTTTAAAAATAATATCACCTAAATGGTTGCCTTTAGAGCGAATGATATAATGTGCTTGCTTTTCGGAATTTGCCATCACTTTTTGAAGTGTTTAAGGTTGAATGGGGCCGTAAATAAACAAAATTGTTGGTTCAACGATTATTGATTTCAACAAGACGGCACCACAGCTCACACAGCTCGAGCCATGATTGGTTTATTGCGTCCATTGTTCCTCGGACGCTTAATTTCAAGAAAATGGTGTTTTCGACTGGCCTTCGTGATTACCCAACGTTAAGTGTTAAAACTCCAATTTTTTTCCTGTGGGGTTATTTGAAGTATAGATAGAACCTAACCGTGACTTTAGAAGCATTGAAATATAATTTATGACAAGAAATGACCACTATTCAGCCGGAAACACTTTGAAAAATGATGGGAAATGGCGAAATTCCAAAAACGAGCACATTATATCATTCACTTTGAAGGCGAGCATTTATGCGATATAATTTTTAAAAAGTAATCAGAACAAATTTCCATGTCTAAACCCAGCAATATACTCAACTACATTAGTAATATAAATATTTTCAATAGTATTGATGTCATTAATCAAGTAATTTTCTAATGTTGAATAATTGTCTTCAGCACAAAGCATATTAATGTAATTATTAGTACTATTATCTTCAGTTTTATTTGTACTACTAATAGTTTATATTTTTGTTAAATCAAGCAGTACACAATTAGCTCCAGATGATACCATTAATTCAGTATAAACTATATGAGTCATGTATAACTTGTTTCAAATTGGAATTCCGTTGGGTTGTTATTAAATCCACCCCTTGTTCTTATAGCAAAGAAGAACATTTCAGGTTATCTTGAGACAACTTATACGTTAAGTAAAAATATAAAATACCTGATTTAATTAAATCATTCAATATATTATGAACTTTGTAGACATATAATGAATTCTAAGAAACCAGCTCTTCTTTGAGAATTAATTAGAAATTATATTTTTACTTTTACTCTCATATTTAGGTGATCGTAAATATTCTATTGATTTTTTTTATAAATAACTTAAATTGTTCTTCATCTGAGTATCTTAATGGATTTTTATTTAGATTTACATAAAAAATTCCTAGTATTTTTAAAATCAAAAATGTTCCTTATAGTTTTACAAAATATTTATTTATTATATTAACGACAAACGGCAATTATGTAGAGAATAACAAATACAAAACGAATATAATATTTAACAGTTAGTATTTCGATCGATCGTTTTGTCGTTGTGGTTATGGATAAATAAAAAAATTGAGTTTAATGTTGTATTTTTTATTTATAAAGGAATTTTAAAATTAAATTTTGACAAAAATCACTATAGTAAAAAATTAAGTGGAACAATTCATAAGTACAAAAACATACAAAAACATTTGTATATTTCTGGTTTAAGAACGATGATTAAATCAGAATTAAGCGGACTAACTAAGTTTCGAAATTATACCTTTTTAAAATCTGATTGGGAAGGTACTTTATAGAGATAATTTTTCGATAATTTTTCTTAAGAGTTCCCAGCAAATGGAAAAAACGGGAAAATCGGTAAAATATTAAACAAAAATTATTAAAGAAAATATTTAATAGCTATTTAATTATTTTACCATAATATGTATATATATATTGTTGACAAAGCATCACTATTAACTGACTTGCGTTCAGAATCGTTAGCATTGGGTTATTGTTGCTTACAGATTTACATTGAATAACCTAAAACAGCAACTGTACCCGTCTCCATTTTCCTAGAACAACTTTTACTTTAGCGGTTTATATGCATTTTGAATTAAATACAATTATAAGCGTTTATTAACATATGTGCTTGTTGATTGCAATATTTATATTTTTTACATGTGTCCGTATATCCTAAATGGGCTTAATGGATTTAAGAAAATCATAAAAATTGATACTTTAAAACTAGATATCATTTTAATTTAAATTCAGAAATAAACAGATTTAAAAACAAAAAATGAAATTTGAATAATGTTTGGATTTTCTATGAAACTTTTCACTGTTTGATAAGTCAACAACGCTGTGGATATAAGATAACAATTCGAGAGATTGATTATCCTTGGAAAACACAAACCACCCGCGCTATAATGTTTTCCCTCGTATATTATAATATTAATCCATAATATTATAGTCGATGACAGAATAATGTTCTCGGCCCTTCACGTTTACACCGTGTATTGAGACTACCCTTTTTATGTGATAACAAATAACCATCGATCCCGACTCCCGAGTACCTATACGTCGCCCACCGTTATTTATACAATACATACTGCAGTGATTAGTAGCAGTTATATATTCCAGTTTTGACAGTGGATGAATTTCAAATCCGTAGGGGGTCACGGGGTTCAAACCTTCTCTTTACAAATATAATGAGAGGGTTTATCCTTATTTAGAAATATATTCTAATAACTCTAATTCTTACATTTTGGTGCGATTTTAATTGAAGATATTATCTATAATCCCCCTCTATTAAATATTTTTGAACACGCTACTGTTCAAATCCTCCCCAATATCAACGACATGTGGTGTACAATTATAACTATTAATGTGCATAATATGCAAAAAATTACGTTGTGTTTTCAGGTTTTATGAAAAACCTGCTCAAGTAACTTTAATTTCTGTTGAGTCTCAATAGTTACAATCAGTTGGGATTATTTTTAATTGCAAATATATTTTATTAATGTTACAATACAATCAAGACGTTTTATCATTATTACTGATTGGTAAATAAAACCCAAAAATTGTATCAAAATACAATTATCAATTAATATACCCATGAATAACGAAATATACATGTCTGCGAGACAACACTGCGCATGCAATTTTCTTCAGACTAAGAAAAAAAATAAAATTCATGGGTGAATTAAATCTCGACATATTAATAATTAATATTAAACAAATTGGTTTCAATTTTTTTTTTTTTGTTTTTTATATTATCTCTATATCAATAAATATTTATGTACAGAGTGATTCACTAAGCGAATATAAATTATAGCGAAGAAATATAAATTATTTAATTATCATTTATTATCTAAATTGCTATTAAATAATGTGACAATACGTCTCGTTTTGAACGGAACAGT